AGGTAGCCGAGGAAGTATGTTAATGTGTTCGACTCTAGCTAATTCCCCTCTCAGAGCCTTTGGGTAGAGAGCTGTGAGGAAGATGAATGTTACATGTAATTCACAATAAAGGCATGTTTTACTCTTTGAATTCTGATTTTGAGACTCAGTTGGAAAGATGGAATATATCGGGGTCCCTTTTTTTAATCCCCATTTATCAGGGAGGCAACCCCTTAACATTCAGAAAGAGAAGAGGGTTCAGTGAAGTGGGCTGCAGTCCGCAAACGCATCTACCAAACATTACTTGTTAGATTTCAAGAATACCAAGGCTTTGGTTTTGGTACAACAGACTGTAGACTCTCAGAGCTGCATCTCTGAAAATTCCTGTAAAAAGTAATTGTGTGAGGTCCTTTTGTATTTTTATACTCACCATTGTTAGTGTTAAATATTGTCCTTGAATGATGTAATTTACCTTGGGTCCTTTTTAAGGAGAAAGGCAGGGTAAAAAAAATGTAATGAATGAATGAATAAATGAATTAAAATTGAGCCATATGAGCTTTGATGAGATCCGTTATGCTCCCAAATCCCATCACTTGTGTAGGCTACTCCGGTTGGAATCTAACACCATTGCACCAATTTGAGCTCCATTTGATTATCTGCACCAGGGATCATCAACCGGTGCTGGTCCATGGGCTTGCTGGAACTGGTGTGTGTGTCGTGCTCACGTGGTGGGTGTGTCGCGCTCGTGGGGGACGTGTCTCACTTGTGGGGAATGCACGGGGGCGCCCCAGGCCCCCACCCGCATAGCTCCCCCCAACTGGTCCACAGCCCCAAAAGGGTTGGAAACCACCGATCTGCATAACTTCGTCCTTTACATCACAAGACAGAGGACAAATTATAAAGAGTTAAATTTGAGCAACCTTCCCCTCTGCTTAGCTTTGTAACATCCTTCCTGACAAAGATCAGTGATCTTGAAAGCTTACACTTCTTTGTGATTTGATTGGCCTGTATTACCTCTGGATGAATTTTGGAAAACCCCTGCACCTCATAAGTGAGGCCATGCTTCTTTTTTTCAGAACAATTGCCTTTTGAAAACTAACAATGCAAGAAACCAATTAAAGGGAAATTATTTCAGGAAATAATTAAAGCTTCTTTTGAACCTCCTGAAACTTTGCTCTTAAAGAAGTGACAGGAAAGGGTACAAAGGTACTTATATAGCTTGGAATTTACTTCTTTAGGCCAAAACTGGCCGTGCTGGCTAGGAGATTCTAGGGATTTTAGTCCAAAAAAGGAACTTTTCTCAGCTCAGGTGGCTCAGGTTGAAGAGACAAGCATGAGTCTTTGCCAGCACTATAGTCTACATTGATGCAGAGCATGGAATAGGCTAATTATATTTAGCGAATTAGGCTAATCTAATAACTTCAAGTCCCTTGAGAATAAAGTATCATTAACATGTGTCTTAATTAGGTCCTAATTAATTTAGTATATATCAACAGTTTTAATAGCTGTAATGGTTTTAGTTACTCTAGTTTGCTGGGAATTTAACTTTCAGTGAAAGCGTAAAAAAGTTTTGAGCCACAGCCAGGAGAAGGAAAAGGGGAGTTGATTGTGGCGGCAACAGCAATATGTGTAAGGGAGTGAAGAACTCTTCTGTGTTACATTCCTTGGCTGCAGGGTGAAACTGACATAGTTGAATGGCAGTAGCTGGAAACACCCAGAAAACCAGATGAGTGTGTGTGTGTGTGAGAGAGAAGTTAACCTTTTTCAATCTAGATAAGCAGTCCACGGTGTTTGAAGGATGAGTGAACAGTGTAAGGGTTTGTGGAAGTAAAGTGAAGGAAGAGGAAGGAGGTAATTGGCCAAAAGTGACTCAACTGGTTGTTACAGCCACAGTCCCGGGCAGTGTTCTCTAACTTGGTAATGTCCAGATGTGTTGGACAGTTTACTCTACCATCCCCAGTTGGCAATTCAGTTGTGGAATTTGTAGTCCCATGGCATCTAGAAAGTGACAGTTTGGGGAAGCCAGTTTGCATTACAAAAACAAATGTGTTGAAGAGGTAAACAGCAAAATTCCATTGGGGAAGTGATGTCAACCACAATGAAATTATGTCATGTTATGCTTGGATTTCCTTTAAAACTAACTACATAGGCCAGAATCCTATCATTTTCCATGCATGAAAGAGAAACTGTGGAAGCTGCTGTGGGCAATGTTCTGCTGCCAGTTGCCTGTTGCATACTTAATCATGTGCTTATCATGCAGCTGGCCCCTGATTGGCTCTTTGTTAGTTAACCATGGCAACTTCCACAGTTTCAGCTCTGTACTGTATTTGAATAGGACCCATAAGATTTTTGCTCTTAATGTTTAGCTTGATGAATTAAAAATCCTACCTGCTGATGTTAATCTACTCAAAATAAGCTTGTGAGTCTTGTAACTGAAATCTTAACTGTTAAAGCCTCCAGTGTATGTCTGCATGCAGGTGGAGTTTTCTGTTTCTGTAAACAGATGGAGATATAATACCATTGAGAAACATATGTGTTCACACTTGGTCTGAGAGATAAACAAGCACACTAGGTTGCTGCCGCAGAACAGTAGGAAGGCGAGAGCCAGTCCAGAGATTCAACAACTCCTAGGCAGCGGAGTCAAGGATATTTGGGCTGTGTTCCTCTTGTCCATGCAGCAGCTGTGGCTAAACTATTGTGTGGCTGAACGTTGTTTCTCTTACTGTTTTGTCACTTTGCCAACACATTATGCAACTCTAATTTTGTGTGTAGAAAAACTGATTTTTTTTAAAAAAAGGCACCTGTGCTTTCATTTCTGTAATATTAAGCTTTTCACATTAGCCAGCCTCCCCCCCCCCGATCTTCAGTAAATCATACTTTGTTCATCATTAGTAATATACAGTATTGGCATTTTTCTTCCCAGTACTCCATAGGGTTTGGTTGGCTTCCGTGTTGCTTTTTGAGTAACCCCATTTGAGAAGCACAGATGCTTGCTGTCATTGCTATGTTGGACCAACTAGGCAAGATTCAGTTTCTCTTTCAGCAAGTTTTAAGTTTTCTGAGTTAAAAAAAAAATCTAGCACTTAAAATACAATGGCAGCATCTTTGATACCGAATAGACGTGTGCTCTGAAAGGAACAGTTTCTAAAGCTCAAGTGCAGAAGGATTTTGGCTGGCTGGCTGGCTGGCTGGAAATGATAGAAAAATGAAACATGCATGAGAATGAGCTGAATGTGCCGAGGTACTGCTGCATTATCTGTATCTGTACCAATCATTCAAATACTTTCCCCCTCCCCCCCAAAAAAGCCCCCATCAACATGTCCTAGGAAAGGCTAGCACAGTGGAAAACCTGAGTCACTCTGCTTGCTAAATTAGTTCAAATTAAATGGTTTTTTGTGGTTAGCTAAGCCGAATCCACATGTTGTCTGAAGGAAAGACAGTACTTGGCCTTTTGTTCTAAGGTTAAATGACTCCATATTGCTGTGGAGTTTAATAGGAAGCCCAGCTCTCCTGCTCAGTGCCTGCTTTATAAATAAATAAAATAGAACATTGTAAAAAAAAGTGCTTGTCTCAAACTAGGCTGTCTTTCCAAAGGCAACTGATCCTTTGTTTTGTCTCAGTTAAACAGTGGTGGCCTGTAAACACTCACATTTATCTGCCCAGCATTACAGTATAAAACCGTGCATATAGGATGGAATAATTTTTGCTTCAAAAACATTTTCTTCCTGCGGAGAGGATGAACTTGGTATCTTCCTGGTGTTCTTCAGTGTTTTATCATCATGTCCAAATGGTTAAATTCCCACAGAATCCCTTGGCCAGATTGGTATTTATATCACTACTGGTGATCCATTAGTGATTTTTTTCACTGTCAAAAGCACCTCCCAAAGTCCCCAAAAGCTTCTCTAAGGAAAAGGGAGCTAAAAGGAGCCTTGGAAGATCAAATGGGAGGGAATAGGAAACTTTAAATTAATTATTTACAGCACCCTGATCAGGTTTATACCTGAAAGAAGATATACAGCAGGATTCTGCCCTCTGTCACTACTGCTGAGCTGGATGAATCAAGTGTAGTAACTTCCATGAGTAAGAAATAAAGAGTGATCCTGGGCTAACAGATAGGTTTCCTGCAGAGCAAGTACTTGTAGGTTCTTCAGAGTCTATGGTGCTCACTTGGCCCCAGGTTTCCCTAACTGTCCTTGTGTTTGACAGTACAGTGGACCCTTGACTTACAGACGGCTTGACTTACAGACTTTTTGAGTTACAGACTTCTCTGGCCGCAAAATTTAGGTTTGACTTGCAGCCTGAGATTTGACTTACAGACTAGAAAAAAACAAAATGGAACAAAAACGGCCTGTTACGAGATTAATCGGTTTTCAATGCACTGTAGGTCAATGGAGACTTGATTTACAGACTTTTTGACTTGAGAACCGCCTTCCAATACGGATTAAGTTCTCAAGTCAAGACCCCACTGTATTCAGGATTAGTGCAACAGATTAGCATGTATATAGGAGCCGATTGGCTACATTTGCTTGACTGTACAGTGGGGTCTCGACTTACGAACGGCTCGACATACGAACGTTTCGACTTACGAACCGCTCTCATAGGAATATATGGACTCGACTTACGATCTTAGATTCGAGTTACGAACTCTTTTTTTCCTTTTTTTAAAGCTAAGTCATCTTAGGTTAAAAGGAAAAAAAGAAAAAATATCCCCCTCTAGTGGCAGAAGGCGGAATAGCAGCTTCCCATTAGTTTCTATGGACGAAAAGAGCAGATACGGATTAAATGGTTTTCGATGCATTCCTATGGGAAATGCAGATTCGACTTAAGAACTTTTCAACCTGAGAACTGCCTTCCAATACGGATTAAGTTCGTAAGTCGAGACCCCACTGTATCTAAACCCTTCCTTCAGATATCAAAGGCCTGGTGAGGTTTTCCTTTGCTGAAGCCAATGGAAAATACCAAAGGCTTTATGTGCCCTGCCTCTCACACTTTCGTACGGTTGTTGTTTTCTTTTTCTTTAGGTTTTCCGTACCGACCTGATAACAGCTATGAAGATCCCAGATTCCTACCAGTTGACCCCTGATGAGTACTATATCCTTGCTGATTCCTGGCGACAAGAGTGGGAGAAAGGTGTTCAAGTGCCAGCAAATGTAGAAGCAATTCCAGAGCCAGTGGTTAGGTAAGTAAGCCTGGTTCTGTTTCGTGTGGTACTGAGGCCCATTGTTGTTTTTAAATCAGAAGAACATCATGTGGGCATGTTTATTTTCTTCTTAGTTTTACTGAGGTACATCCAAAATGTCTAACCGGTAGAGAAAGGTGAAGAAATCACACAGCTTGGTTTGGATGTGGGACCATAGTAAAGAAGCAGTTTGGACTCACTGAGTGTAATGAAGGGGATGTAGTGTATGTTTTATGAGCAGAAGCAAAAAGAATTAGACTCAACATTACATTGTGGTGTAATCAGGCAATTGCTGTGGTCTGAGCTGACTCCCGCCAAGCCCACCACCAGAAATGTTTCCCCTGGCAGTTTGTGATGGATAGCCAGGCAGCTGCCATTTTTGTCCTCACGATATTCTGACATAGCTTTGAGCTGAGTGGTGGTGCAAAAGATGCGTAGTAGGATCCTCCTCAGACGTACGGACAGGCCTGGAAAATGAAACATGGAAGCCCTGAATCTTCTGCCTGAATCTTTTCTGGGCAACTTCCTTCCCAAGGTATCTCTCATTAAGGATTGTCTGAACAGCTGTATCACTTAGAAGCAAAAGAATTACAGGCTTTGGCTGTATTTTTCAGGCGGCTGCTTATCTTCCTTGTGCTGAGGATTTGCCAAAAAAAAAAAAAAAAACCCAACCAAAAAAACAAAAAACAAAAGCAAAAACAAGGGAGTTAAAAAGTGTAATCTTGAAAAAGTGTTTGAACAAGAGTGGTGAGTGAGGTCCCTGTTTTACTAGGACCTGTTGTCTTCTGTTCATGTAAATGAAAAGAAACAGCTACGTGCTTTGTTAGATCACTCATGTGATTCTACGTAGGACCCTTAGGAACAGTCAAAGCATTATCCATCTGAGGGACCTCTGATAATCTCCAAGGATGTATTCTCATTAAAAAAAACCATGATGAGGTCTTGGGTGTTTGTGTGGACCTGGCTGCAGCTTTGGGGAAGTGTCTTCCATGACAGCGTGCTTATCTGAAAGGCATAAATTGCCATTGGGAGCCAATGGCAGTGTCTACGGATGTCCTGGAAGTTACCATTCTCCACATGAAGAAATTTCTTGGAGTATTTGTGATTGTCAATGAGGCACTCTGAATCAGAGTATTGTTAGCTCAGTAAAATCATGTAGAAACTGATATATAGATATATATATAAAAGTGGATGGCTTGCAGTGGAGAACACATAATGTCTTTTGTCTTCTTCTTTTTTCCTGGTATATCTTGAGAAGAGGTTTGTGTGGTTGTATACTTTGGTCACCAAGCCCGGGTCTTCATGGTGCCTTAAATTGCATTCAAAATTAAATACATTTTTTCAGTTCAGTATTCTGGTGTGTTTTTGATAGTGGCGGAAGCCACCCTTAAATCACCCATTTCTTAGCATCTTTAGTAGTTGTCTCTTACTAAATGCTGAACTCTGAACGGCAGCACTTCTGTTTTAATTAATACAGAGTGCATCACGCATAGAGTAATACTGTACAAGGATGGACTGCGTTCAGGTGGGCTTTGGTCTATAACACTCCTGCCTCCATGTCTTGGAGCTTCTTTCTCGTTGTTGTTTTAATCTTTCTGTGTGTTTTTTTAAACAAACTTTGATACCACTATCAAAGATCTTGGGGACTTACTGCACTTGCAAGTTGTTAGATGTCACTGTGGAGATTGTTGTTCACTTCCAAAAATCAATGTGTCAACGGAACTCAGGAGAATGTGAAGCACATGAAGGTGTTTTCAGATTTCGTGCAGGAATTTCCTCTCTCTCTCTCCCCTCAAAGGATGGAAATATTTCAGTAAGTCAATAACTGCCTGAAGCACAGCTTGTCAAGCAGTGACAGCATCAACAGCTGTTGGAGGAGGAAAGTTATGAAATAAACTTTTGTGCGCTCGTCTCCTTCCTTCATGGATTGCAAAGGAGGGGGCCGATGAGAGAAAAATACTGGAAAACAACAAATCTTTAATGAGGAGCCTGGACCCCCTCAGAGTGAAAACCATCAAAAGAGGAATTTCAGGTTGATTCCCTCCTGAAACGCAGGGTGAAAAAACAAACTGTTTTTAACAACACAACCAGTCTGCAGTCATAAGCGCCTTGCTCTTGAGCTGAGGGTTGATTTTGGTGCTGAGTCAAGATGTAAAGTGATAGCTTGCTGTTCCCTGGGTCGGAGGTGCCTATTTAAAGCCAGACTAAACGGATTCACATTTTTTTGGAAGTGGGCTTTGCAGGCAAGCAGTTTAACACGATCCACTCTTTCACCCTTCTGGAGAGGCTACTGAAGACTGGCCACAGTCTCACAGAGACATAGATGTCCATAGACCCACTGCTGCTTAAGGATGCCAAAGCCCTTGCTGGACTGGGTTCAGTCCAAGTTCAATGAAACCCTGCCCCACAAGAATGGAATAGGAGGCCTTTGCTCTACTGTGTTTTAGAGAGAGGAAGAAAATTATTTTGCGGTAGCATATGCGTCTTCTTTTTTCTTTAAAAAAGAAATGCATGCTATCAGGGGATGTAGGATTTGTGGCCTTCATAACTATTCCATTCTAATGTCTGAACCCAGGAGTGGAGTTGTTATGGCCTAGAGCAGTGGGTAGTACCTTGCAAACTAATTTCAATAAAAATCTTTGTTCTTGGGAACCTGTTTGTTCTGACCTAGCCATTCCAAGATTATCAAATTAACGTTGTACAGTGGGGTCTCGACTTACGAACGGCTCGACATACGAACATTTCAACTTACGAACCGCTCTCATAGGAATATATGGACTCGACTTACGAACTTAGATTCGAGTTACGAACTCTTTTTTTCCTTTTTTAAAAAGCTAAGTCATCTTAGGTTAAAAGGAAAAAAGAAAAAAATATCCCCCTCTAGTGGCAGAAGGCGGAATAGCAGCTTCCCATTAGTTTCTATGGACGAAAAGAGCAGATACGGATTAAATGGTTTTCAATGCATTCCTATGGGAAATGCAGATTCGACTTAAGAACTTTTCGACCTGAGAACTGCCTTCCAATACGGATTAAGTTCGTAAGTCTTGACCCCACTGTACCTGCTGTGTGCTTAAGAGCTCAAGCAAACTTGTTTGTTCTGACTTAGCCATTCCAAGATTATCAAATTGTACCTGCTGTGTGCTTAAGAGCTCAAGCCTTACATCTTGTAGGTCGCTACACCAAAATCAGACTTAAGATATGCAGGACCTGCTTTGCTCTTAAATAAAATACTGACATTCACCAAGAAGAACCAGGTGCAACACAGTGTTGCGTAGAGGCAGAGCGAGGAACAAAAATGGTGACTTAGGGCAGGAACATTCTATAGCTTGAGCAGAGGGGGGCACCTCATCCTGAAGTGGAAAGTGAGCCGTCCCCAGTAGGACTGTTGGTGTTTCAGGAGCCTATTTATCTGCCAAACTTGATGAGTCATTCACTGATACAATCTCCATACACAGATCTATATTGTGTGAGGGAGTCCAGCTTTGCAGGGAGAGTAGAAAGTAGCTATTTAGCTGTTGCTATTGTAAAACATCTGGATATCAAGAATGCTTGCAAGTGTACTATAAGTCATCTGTCAGTAGGTTTTATTATTCTTTTTGCCCACTGCTCTAAAGAGAAGGGTCCAAGAAGGAAAATAAATGGAACATTAGCAGCAAAACGTCAGATCCTTGTGATTATGAGAATCTGGTGGTTCCAGAGACCCAGTTGTACTTGATGCCAGATTCCCTCCATCTGGTCAGGTTGCCCCTGCAAGGAGGCTACTGGAATCCCTTTCCTTCTCAGATTACCTTCTCCCAGGTTTTCTGGCAGCAACTAAACTGAGGGCCGTGGTGGCGCTGCGGGTTAAACTGCAGAAGCCTCTGTGCTGCAAGGTCAGAAGACCAGCAGTCGTAAGATCGAATCCACATGATGGAGTGAGCTCCTGTCGCTTGTCCCAGTTCCTGCCAACCTAGCAGTTCAAAAGCATGTAAAATGCGAGTAGATAAATGGGTACCCGCTCGGTGGGAAGGTAACAGCGTTCCGTGTCTAGTCGCGCTGTCCATGTGACCACGGAAACTGTCTACAGACAAATGCTGGCTCTACAGCTTGGAAATGGGGATGAGCACTGCTTCCAGAGTCAGACACGGCTGGACTAAATGTCAAGGGGAACCTTTAAACTGATTGGGTCCAAGAACAATATTGACAAGCTGGAATGTGTCCAGAGGAGGGCAGCCAGGGTGATAAAGAGGTGTAGAAACCAAGTTAGGCAGTAATTTAGGGGGTTGGGTATATTTAGGGTAGAGAAGAAGCATCTGAGAAGTGATATGATAGTCATCCCTGCTATTTGATGGGCTGCCACATGGAAAGTAGAACCAGCTTGTTTTCTACAGCTCTAGAGAATAGGATATGACGTAATAGATTCAGATTACAAGAAAAGTGGTTTTTGTGTAACATATAGATAGCTAGGGCAGTAAAATGGATTGTCTTGGAGGATGGTAATTCTCCTTCATTGGAGGTTTCTAAACATATGTTAATGACCATTTGTCAGGGATGCTTTAATTGTGGCTTTCCTGCATCTTCAAGGGGTTGGACCCAATGACTCTTGGGTCCCCTTTGAGGTCTACAGTTCTGTGATTCTCTGTCATAAGCTACAGGAGCCCATCATAGTTCTGTGGGACACACTTCCCCTCTGGGTTCTGGTGGGATCCATCTGTACTCTATTCCTATTCCCTCCCTATAATCTCTTTTACTTGGCCATCTGTGAGGGGGAACCAAGACCACAAGCAAGCGGAGATGGGAATCACAATTCCTGTGTTAGTAAAACAGGCGTATCACACAATCCCAGTGTTTCCTGTTAAGTGGCCATTTTCGTTTGTGACTTCCTAACCTTTTCCCCCCTACACTGGCTAAATACAAGGGTGACACATTGACAGAAGTGACTAAAAATTCAGAGTTCAGAATGAAGCTTGAGTTTTCACAAGTGGCGGTTGAGGCACAACACATTTGACACATAGCTGTAG